ATGTTAACCCTTCAGTTGCTATTTCATGGGGGTGGTCCAGGTGGTTCCAGAGGAGGATGAGGAAGGAGTATCCCAAGGGCTCAGAACAGTTATTTATGTGCTGGCTAAGTATCAGCCTAAATTTACCATTCTTATGCTCAAGCTATAAAAAAAAGTAAAACCTGAGCCAAGGTGGTAGGCCTTGGCTCAGTGAGGAGTTTAGAAACTTGCTTATTTGCCATTAAGATGGGAGAACAAGAGCTCTTTTCCACACTAGGTAGCATTGAATAATTAAAAACAAAACAAAGACATAAGGGGTATGTCAGAATCTCTTATTTTGAGGACAAGGTCTTCGATTTTAGCTGATGTGAACAGACAGTGTTTTTTAAATTACACTTCAAATGTACAACCCCAAGCACCAAAGAGAGAGAGAGGAGAGAGAGTTAGCCTTTTGGTGAGGCTTTCTTCTTATATTGAATCAAATTGCAAAGTATTTGCTTGACGGATTTTTAAAATGCATCTTCTTTAGCTAATATCAAACCAGTTACAAAAATAAACAGGCACCGATCAATGGAAGATGAAAATCAGTGTTTTTCCAAGGTGATCTGAATTTGCTGCAGGCCCAGAAGAACACTGCTTTTCCTCTCTCTTACCAGGAGCAACCTTTTCGGGTGGGTGTAATGGGAGAAGCAAAGGTAGGCTTTTCAGTGAAAGAGAAATGCTTTCATGAATGGGAGGGTGGGTGTTCAAAAGATAAGTACTTCGGATCTGAATGATTGAAGGAAATGACTTTTCTAACTCAACCTTGCAAATAATTAAGTCAATCAGAGCACAATTTCTCTCCCTGGCAGGGTTTACCCACCCATCCTATCTCCAGCTCCTACGCTTCCCACGTGGACTCTGCACCAAGCACAAAGTAGCCCACCCCCCTTTCACAACAATATTAAACAACAAACTTGAATACAGGAATTCTCAGCCAATCTGAGGTGGTAAAATTATAATTATTTCAAAACACTCATCACCTAAGTGTTTTTTGACCAGGCAAAGTTTTTATGCTTTTTAGAATTAAATTCCTCAAGGCATATTATTTAAATACAGGCTGGTCATTGAATGGAAACTGGGTGCATGTAGGAAAATGCAAAGATGGAAATCTTAGAGCCAAGGAGCCTGTTAACCAGAGGAAGGGAAGGGAAGTGGATTCTCCTCATTCCCTTCTGGTAGATTCTGCAAGGGAGGTTTATTCTGACACCACAGTTACCCGCCCAGGGGATGGAGACGGGAACAAGGGCTTTGGCAGGAGCCTCCCAACTTTGCAGTTTGTTATCGCTCCATTTCCCTGTCTCACTCCCACTCTCAACAGGGAAAGGGAGCTGGCCGCAACTCAGAGCAGTTGCCTAAACCCCAGTCTGAAAACAGCATGGTCCAGATCTTTCTGGCAACTGCAAATGTTGATGCTTGTGATCTCCACAAACAAATTTAAATGTATTCTGGAAAGTGAGCCTTATGTTAAAAAAAAAAAAAAAAGATGAAAAGGCTGAACTCATCTGGGCTTTGTTTGCCAGTCATTGTGCCAGTAATAAGTAGCAGTTCTTCAGGACTCCAGTGGCCATGGGAGTAGAGAGGGCAAAGCTGGAGCTGTGGTTACCTCCAACTCTTTGGGGCAGCCAAAGTACCCAGTTAAAGGGTCTCCTGAGAACCACACCTTAGCAGAGGAATTGTATGTTCCTTTGTCAAATGACCCCAGGCAGTACGTCATGAAAAACTGAGGCTCACAGATAACTAAGATCAGTAAGGAAAAACAAAGTAAGATGTAGAAGAGAAAGGGAAGTTTATCTCTCCCTCCTTCTCCCTCCCAAAAGCCAACCTTGTGTCCAGATGACTCACACCAGACCAACCAAGTGCCAACAAAGTCTGCAGGGTGGCAAGTAAAAGGTTATGGCCACATTTCAAGATCCCCTCCTTGTCCTTTACCCAGTAGGTTGGTTCTATGCTAAAAGGGAACTGTGACTGTCATATTCCACATGGCATGGCTGTCACTGGTCTCACTTCTTCCTTATATCTTTTCTCCTGGCTATCTTCCTGTCTTGTCCCTTTTCTCTTCTCAAGTGTCCATGACCCCGTGAAATCCAACTCCCAGCTTGTCTGGCATGCATTTTGTTGTTGTTGTTGTTGTTGCACTGGGCATTAAACCCAGGGGCATGTTACTTCTGAGCCAAATCCCCAGTCCTTTTAAATTTTTTTTATTATGAGACAGGGTCTCTCTAAGTTGCTGAGGCTGGCCTCCAACTTGGATCCTCCTGCCTCAGCCTCCAGAGTGACAGGAATTACTGGCATCCAACTTTCAACTCTCTATTGCAGTCCATGAAGCCAAGACTCTAACGCTAACCTTCACACCTAGTGATTTTGCACCTGTTAACTGGTTAATGGCTTGGCAAATATTAACCCCTCCACAAAGACTGAGATAAACTCTGTCTTCTTTTTCTGTTGGTGCCCTGATTCCCCAACTCTTTTTCAGAAACTCAATCCAAAAATTTTCATGACTACTAGAAAGCTGGTATTTTCTTTATGACAGTTATAAGAATTAGTAACTCTCATGCTGTGGGAAAAACCCAAACCAGGCCTCCCTTGGGGTTGAACCAAATAGTTCAATGTCATTGGGACGCAGCCACCTGCTCTGTATGAGGGATCCTCATGTAGAGCTTGGCACCCCTCATCTATCATGCTGCTCTCTCCACGTTTACAGCGCTTGGAATAATCAAATCTGGAGGCCGTATATGCTCTCGTTGTCCAAGTTCATTTCACAATACATTGGTTACAGAGGATTTTTAATATGTCATCCAGGTTAATGTAAGTGAGCAAGTCTGAGGGCTAATGAAGGAGTTTCAGCAGGCGAGGATTGGCAGTGTCCCTCTGGGGCTCTCTCCCTGAGTAGTTCCACCCCTGCCTTACAACAAAGCACCATCCAAACCTTCCTGGAGTAAAGGCTGTCAGTCACTCCCAGCCCAGCAGTGGTTTTACAAAATGCACAAAGGGTAATTACAGAAAGTCCTCCATTAATTTTCCTATGTAATCTTGCCCTAAAACTTAAACCCAGACCCCCACTTTCAACTGTTTCCTAAGTAACTTAAGCCTGGCAAACAAAAGAGTCGGACCGCTTGGAGGGAAAGAAGTGAGCAGGGGTTGGAGATGGCAGAGGGTAAGTTCAGACTAGCACAACCCTGATCTTGCAGACCATTATAAATCCTTTAGCACTGTTGAAACAATTAGATCACTTGATTGGCCTTAACATTCCTCATCTCGTAAATCAGTCTGGTGGGTGCTTCATACTGTTAAGCAATGCATTATATTGTTCCAACACTAACATCTGGCTGATGGAGAACAGGCTGATTTTAATTTTAGCTCTAAGAAATTATACCTATTCCGGTCCATATGGCAGTCTCTACAATGAATACGTAGAAATGTGGCTTTGTGTCACTAACATTTCGTTTTTCAAAAATTACTTTTGCTTTAGGTATAATATGAAAAAAAAAAACTTTTAAGGGGTGCTCAGTTTCAAAAGTGTTTTTCTTCCTCCAAATTTGGAAGTAGATATTTTCTAAAGGTATTTTTTGCAAGTTGCATATACTACTACTTCTGAGATGCAAATATCCACCCAGCATGAAGTACCACACTATCTACCACCATAACATGAAAACAAATAGAACATCTGTTCCCTAATTCCTTACAAAACCAAATAAACAAATAAGTATATATTTGTACATATATATTTGTATATCTACTGGTATACAAATAAATATATATTTGAACCCCTAAAATTAAAAACATATGTCAAGATCATCATTAATTTCCACCTGTATCCTGAGACAGGTAGATGAGACAGAGAAAGATAAATAGTAAAGAGGAGTGAGTGGAGGAAGATAGTACAAGGAGAGGGAAAGAAGAAAATAAAAAAATCAAGGGCTGGGCTGGAGTTGTGGCTCAGCAGCAGAGCACTTGCCTCTCACATGAGAGACCCTGGGTTCAAGCCTCAGCACCACATAAAAATAAATAAATAAAATAAAGGTATTGTGTCCAACTACAACTAATATATATATATATATATATATATATATATATATATATATATATATATATGTGTGTGTGTGTGTGTGTTTTGTTGTTTTTTTTTTGTTTGTTTGTTTGTTTGTTTTTTTAAATCAAGGGCTGGAGCAAAGGGCAGTGCTGCTGCTAAGGAAAGCCAGTATTCATGGAAGAAGGAGGTGCCTGCCCCTATGCCATCCCAAGGTAAGCAGAAGCAACAACTGGCTCTCACAAGAGGGGATTATGTCACAGTCAATCAGTCCTAAAATTATGCTTACTACCAAGCAAGCATACTCAATGTATTAATTCTTTTCATGATTATAACCACCTTCTGAAGTTTGAACACATTTTCAGATAAGGAAATTAAGATACAAGGAGGTCCTGTAACTTGCCCAAGGTCAGGCAGCCAGGAAATGATAGAGCCAGGAATAGAATTCAGCAGATATGTTTTGAGAATCCACACACTTAGCAACATGCTCTTCTTCATCCCAAACATTCTAGAACTTATCCCCATCAGTGTTACTCCACCAGACCAATGGCCAGAGAGGCTCTGCTTTATTCTAAGGATGCTGCATTGCTCAGTCAGGGGCCACCCCCTGCAGCACTACCCTCACACCTGTACTATTTCCCAAACTCTGAGCAATAGCAGCAAATTTCTAACTTCTTGAGAGTGAATATGACTTTTTGGAACGTCTAAAAGTCAGAAGCATGCATGGCGAGCTGGGTGAGCTCTGGAAAATAATTTTTTTAGACGAAAAACTATAGATGATGACGAAGTACCCAGTTTCCCTGTGTGGCACAGGAAGCAACAAAAGAGAAATTTCAAGTGTACAACAATTGAACATTACCGAAACTCGGACATAAGGACCATGCGGATGTTTCTGAGAATCTTTCTTGTTTCAATAACTTTCCAATCATTTCCAGACTCTGCCACTACTTACCACATTCAAGAAGCCTTCACTGAACTATAATGCAGACCTTCAGTGTAGTCTAATGTAACCTCAGCTTTCCCAGAAGGGCATCTAGAGCATTCTTGCCTTTCCTAATAAACAGAGAAAGAAATAGTTATCATGACATTGGTGGGATTTAAATAGGAATCATCTTCTTTTGAACTTCAATATCTAATCAGAGATAAACCAGAAAAAAAAAAAGATAAAAGATAAAACAACTTCAATGGCCAGACTCCACAGGCCTTCATTCACTGGGAATTCCCCAGATCCAAGGGATCAGCATTGTTAGCTTCAGGACTTATTAATTCATGCGGAGTTAATTAATTAAGGCCTGGAGAACTGACTCACACTCTACGCATTAGAGACTGATGTATAAACCATAGTAGACATTTACTTATTTGCCAGGAGGAAACTATCTGTCTATAACTATACAACTTATTGGGAAGTAACAATGTTTTCCAGTATATTAAAAATGATTTCTCTTTATATATCCTAGAGATTAGTGCTCTATTTGATGTGTGTGTGGTAAAAACTTGTTCCCAAATTGTAGGCTCTCTATTCACCTCACTGATTATTTCTTTTGCTGAGAAGAAGCTTTTTAGTTTGAATCCATCCCATTTATTGATTCTTGACATTAATTCTTATGCTATAGGAGTCTTATTAAGGAAGTTGGGGGCTAATCCAACATGATAGAGATTTGGGCCTACTTTTTCTTCTAATAGACACAGTGTCTCTGGTTTAATTCCTAGGTCCTTGATCCACTTTGAGTTGAGTTTTGTGCATGGTGAGAGATAGGGGTTTAATTTAATTATGTGAATAACCCAATCAATAAATGGGCCAAGGAACTGAACAGACACTTCTCAGAAGATGATATACAATCAATCAACAAATACATGAAAAAATGTTCAACATCTCTAGCAATTAGAGAAATGCAAATCAAAACTACTCTAAGATTTTAGCTCACTCCAGTCAGAATGGCAGTTATTAAGATTACAAACATCAATATTGGTGAAAATGTGGGGGAAAAGGCACACTCAAATACTGCTGGTGGGACTGCAAATTGGTGCAGCTAATATGGAAAGCAATATGGAGAATCCTTGGAAAACTGGGAATGGAACCACCATTTGACCCAGCTATCCCACTCACTCCTTGGACTTAAAAACAACATACTACTATAGGGACACAGCCACATCAATGTTTATAGCAGCAAAATTCATAATAGCTAAGCTGTGGAACCAACCCAGATGCCCTTCAGTAGATAAATGGATAAAGAAAATGTGGTATATATACACAATGGAATATTATTCAGCTTTAAAAGAGAATAAAATCATGGCATTTGCAGGTAAATGGATGGAATTGGAGAATATAATGCTAAGTGAAGTTAGCCAATCCCCAAAACCCAAATGCCAAATGTTTTCTCTAATTTAAGGATGCTGACTCATAATGTGGTGGTGGGGGGCATGGGACGATTAAATGAACTCTAGATAGGGCATAGGGGAAAAGGGGAAGGAAGAGAAGGGAGGGAGCATAGGAGTAGGAAATATGGTGGAATGAGATGGGCATCATTATACTGAGTGTGTATGAAGACATGAATGGTGTAACTCTGTGTACAACCAGAGATATGAAAAATTTGCTCTGTATGTGTAATATGAATTGTAATGCATTCTTCTGTCATATATAACAAATTAAACTTTAAAAAATGAACAAAAAATTATTTCTCTCTGGATTTCAAGAAAGCCTTTGGGCATCTGCTACCACGTCATCACTTTGAGAGAGCAAACATTACAATAGATTGGGTTACTAATCCCACACTAGGTTATTTACATTATCCATTTCCTTTCATTGCACAGAAATGTTTGAATGGGCTGGCTGTTGCCCGGCCCAGGCATAAGTCACCTATTGATTTGGACCACCACATAGAGTTTCTCAGTAGATCATCTACATTCCTTACTTGGTGTTAGAATTCAATTACATAGTGCTAGATTGAAATCAAATAAAACCAAAATATTTAGCTGTTCCCTCCTCACTAATAACAATAACAATAATAGCTAACATTCGTTTCTACTATTATCCAGAGGCTTTTGTAAACACTTTGCAGGTATTAACTCATTTAACCCTCACAGCTATCCTGGGAGGTAGTTTTCATTATTATCCACATTTCACAGATGAGGAAACCGACCTGAGAAATAACTTTCTCAGGGTCACAGTTAGTAACTGGCAGAGCTAAGACACAAACACAGTTTGATGCCCACACGCTTAACCACAGCACTAAATTACTTTCTCAGTCTCTTTGCTAACTGGGTGTTATGACTATAAAAAGGGGGGCGGGTGGGAGGAAGCAGCTGTTTTTCTTACTGGCTCCGACTCTGGTTAACTGCTCTTGACATTTTTGCATTTTATCCATGCAGAACAAAGCTATATTTGTAATTAAACTCCAGATAAATAAGTACCTGTTCTTTAGCAGGACCAAACATTTGACAAGTTTTAGCTGAGGCTAGTAAAATATTTAAATCTAAGAATGTCCTGATCGGAATGTATTTGCAGAACCTAAGAGTATCCACAGGACCATTCCATTCTGCTCTTTTCTAGTTGTTTCCTTACAGACACCCCCAGCCTCTCCCTCCCCAGTTTCTGAGACCATAGATTGGGACAGCTACAACCAACATAGAGCATGATAGTTGTGCACAGAACAAGTGACTAGAGTTAAATTAAAAGAAAATTTAAAAAGCAGAAATGTCAGGCATCTGGAATTATTGTCCACCAAGAAATCTGTTCTGCTTTTTTTTTTCCTTTTTCTCTCTTAAAATGACATTAACAGTGCTTGCCTCATCTACTCCATGAGGGGAGGTTTGATGCCCAAGAGGCAAAGCTTAAGAAAGTGCTTTGTCTCCTTCAGAGTGTATAATCCAAATAGAATCCAAGCCCATGGTTATTTTCTGGAGCTGTGTCCCTGCATGAAACTATTTTTAAGCTCATTTATTTTAGCCTACTTACAGCAGCAGGTAGATTTGGAACGTTTGTCCTTTGTACAGCCTAAAGTAACATGACTGAACAAAGCAAATGGCCTGTGATGGTGACAGCCGAGGTGCAGTGGAAGGACTCAGGGTGAAGTCAGATGCCTGGAGTCCTGAGAACAGGTTCTGCCACCGGAGTTGGTTGAGGTCGAGGGAGTCACTTGCCCTCTCTAAGTCTCAGTTTCTTCATCTATAAATCAGGAGCTCCATTGTAGAGTTGTAATGACACAGAGGAATGAGTATGAAATGACTTCCTAAAGTGTCAGGGTTCCACAGACAAACCTACCACAGTCTAAAGTTGGAGGAGACCTCAAACATCATCTCATCCAACTCTTTCCATTTTATGGTCAGAAAACTAAGGCTTATAGAGGCCAGGTGGCTCCTCCACAGCCTGTCTCTTGACTCCTGTCCTCACATGCTTTCTTTTTTTCCTGTTTTCTGAGTGACTTTGTAGCACAGAAGGTGCTAGCTACCTCAGTGAACAAACAGCTCCTAAAAAGGATGGAGCAAGAGAGGGCACTATTTAGGGGCACTAGTCAGCTTGCACCTTAGTTATGTTCGGCATGTTAAAGGAAAAGTCGACACTTAGATGTCAGCCAGAGCTTGCCAGAAATAGATTTCCAACAGTTAGAGTAATCCATACACACCTTGGTGGGTAAATAGTCATCTATATAGGAACCTACAGGAATGAAACAACAGGTGCTTTCAAAGGATTACAAAATGTATTTGTACTAAGGCCATTAAAAAGCCATTTCCAAGCCAACAGGAAGGACGTTTATTATTTTAATTTAACATTTATTAAATATCATGTGTTGAAGAGCAGGATCTCAATCTGAGCCCTTTTTGGCTGTGCATGAGCTTTTCAGATACTTGCCATTTCTTCCTCTTACTTACAAAGATGCCAATTGAACTGGGAGAGGTAAGTAAACACGAGAAGAGATCTTGGAAGCAATCTGTTATATAGTTCAAGGGCTCTCCCTCATAAAAGGGATCTTCCTGACCTTCAGTGCATCCCAAAAGACACTGGCAGAGGAGTTACTTCTTCAAATGTTCATACTACTGGCAGAAGAGGAGAAGCAGAAAAGCTCCATGATTGGAAGAAACATTATGATGTGGTCTAAATGCCTGGGAATCTCATAAAATTATAGAACCCTTCAGTCTGGAGATGGGTGATGAGAATTTGCATGTTTAACAAGCTTTCAGATGATGTTGATATCAAGATTGAGACCACAATTGGAGAAGCAACTCCATTCTGTGTACATCTGTCCTTAGCTACTGTGGGATGATCTGGGGTCAGCATTAAGAAAGAAAAAAAAGTGTGTGTGTTTGTGTGTTTGTGTGTGTGTGTGTAGTCTGCTCCCAATAGAGGAGTAGCTAATATTATCTCTATCACTAAAGAGACATCTAAAAATCCTAGTTAATATTGAAGAATTTTCAACTTACTATGTCACCTTCTCAAGGGTAACTGCTTTTGCACAAGGAGGGCTGGTGGGAAAGGAGACTGCTTAACACAATCTTCCTATAGTGGTTCTCTTTCAGGCATGAGGGAAGGATTGGTGGGAGACCTGTCTGAGGGGCCATGCTTCATCCCACAGTCACATTTAAACATTGTGATCGTATCTATCTTTGGTTCTTATACCTGAAATAGCCAAAAATAAATAAGTGTATATAATTTCACAGACACTTGAGCAAATTTCCAAGTTTAGAATTTTAACTAAAAAGGAAAAGGATCATCATGGCTGAAGCAGCTCTGCATCCCCCATAGGACCTCCCACAATGTCTGGTTCTTAATAAACCCCTGATAGATGTACTGAACTGAAGCATAGGGTGAGTAGATATCTTCATATATCTCTGGGTATGATGATTGGAAACATTTCAGTTTTTAAATTGGTTAGTATAGGCAACATTACAGAATGAACTGGGTATTTTATTATTTTGCCCTCAAACAATCACCTGATTTTATGTAATTAAATTCAGCCTTAAGCTGTATCAGTGGGTCTTCAGGTTCAGCTTCTGTTGTACATGGAGAACAGGGGCTATTAGGGGCTTCACATGGCAACCTCTATGTTCTTAGGATT